CTCTTGGTGTGTTTGTGTTTTGTTTCCTGCCTGTGGTTTTTCAAATTCAGTTATTGATATTTTCAGCACATTCTTGGACAAGGCGGTGGGTGTGTGGAGAGCTCTCGGGTGTAGGTAGTCACCCTCACAGATCCGCAGTCTCCTGTTGCTGCCTTCAGACCTTCGGCATTGTTTTCCCCAGAAGGCCTGCCAGTCCTTCCGTGTTCCCATAGGGCTTGAGTGGTTGACATTTTGACCATGAGCTTTCCTCTTGAAATCCAGAAGGGCAAAGTCCAGGGAAGAGGCAGGGTGGAAAGGTTATAAAGGTTTGGCCCACACCACAAAATGGACACAAATTTTGGCTGTTCCTGAGCAGGCGCAGTCCATAAGCACAGCTCAGTCTCTGTGCGTCTGATAGAAGACAGCCAGCTCCAGATTTTCTCACCGTTAAGTCTCCCTCACGGACCAAACGTGAGCTGTTGGCTTCAGAAAAGTTCCTAGGCTCTGTCACCTACTGTGGCCGTCTGCAAACAATGTTTACTACTCTGATTTTCTGTAATCTTCTGTTAATTTTTCTTTTTTTTCTGTCTGACGGCAGATGCGACTGAAAAACACAGGGTAGAGAAGTTTGGGTCTTTTTCTGGAAAAATGAGGTCCAGGTTGGGTGATGTTGGTTTTGAATTCTGGAGGCACGGCTTGCAAACACTTGCATTCTTCCTCCAGTTGGAAACACATCTTTCAGTAGAATTTGATCTAAAATGCTGTGCAGGCCACGCTTTAAAACTTCTCTGGCCTTGGACCCAAGAACCGTTACGTATTTTCTGTATGGTTTCTGACAACCTTGGGCTTATTTGATAAGAGGGGAACATTTCAGCATCAAATGTGGTATAACTCAAGTGATTCCCACCAACCCTTTGCTGTTTTTTAATCAGTGATGCAATAATCATGTAGACTTGCTTGTAATAATATAAGCTTGTAATAATCTTGTAGACTAGGCTTTAATGGGAAATCTTTAATTATATGGAAGAGCTTTGCTTCACACTTCAGAGTGCACTTCTGTAAAAAAGAAAGAAAAAAAATAAAACAACCAACAAAAGAAATGCCTCATTTTGGGTATTTGGTGTTTGAGCTTATAAACTGGAAAATAATAAGAGCACCATCTATAGGAAGAATTGGTAAGGTCTTCCTGCCAGTATCACTCATTTACCAGCTTTCTGTTTTTAATGCTGAATAGCTCTTTGTAAATCCGTTTTGTTTTGGTTTTCACCCTGACCTTAGGAAGGAAAGCGCAGGTCAAAGGAGCTCCACAGTGCCTTCCAGATGTTGTGCCCAAGAGAAAGCGGACGAGACTCAAGCTCCCTGCAAACCCGCTACGGACTACTCACAAACCCAGTCATGTTTCTCAGCACCCGTACAGGGGCAGGGTGATTCACTTGCTGGCCCTGAAGAATTACAAGAAGCCGGAGCTACTTGCTCGCTTGTATAGAGATGGCATCTACCGAAAGGACAAGGATTGCCTTGCAATTGTCCTTCAACAGGTGAGATCATGGGGTCTGGGCCAGCATTTTTTCCCCCAAGCTGACCTTTTAAGCACAATGTGGAAGCGTGTTACTCAAATTTAGATTAGAATGTACCTTATTTAAATGAGAAAATAATAAACAAGGTAGGTAATGCTCCGCTGTTTAAGATTTGCAGTCAACTTTGGCACGTTCCCAAAGGCAAGTCAAACCTCCAGGTACCAGTTTACATTTACATTCAGAGGTGGACACGTAAGCAGCACCACACCCTGAAAAGCCTTGTCATGCTTTTCTTTGCATCCCAATGCTGGCTTTTTTTTTTTTTTTTTTTTGAACAAGTGAAGAGCATCCATCTGAACATGCTAAAACATAATATGCGCAGATTTGTTTTTCTGGAATACATCTTTAACTGTGTTTCTCACAGGGGAATTACTGTTTCCGGGTGTCTTTGTTACATCTCCTTTCAGGCAGAGAGGCACACAGACACGAAGTAGCAGTAGTCGTCTATCATGTCTTGGAGGAAAACTAGGCCAAGTGCAGAAAGTGCTGGGGTTGCGTGGGTGAGTTATTCAGCATTTTGCATCAGGCTAATTGACGGAGAGGTTTGTTCTGTGAGTTTGGGCACATTTTGCCTTGATTCTCAATGCTGTAGTAAAGAAATCAAGCCAGAGACGTGGTGCAGGCGGAGGTTTTCATTGGGTACCTTTCCTACTCACTTGCAGCAGTCTGGTGTTTTCTTACATACAAACTTCTACACCCCAGACTGAGCACCTTTGTTAAAACTGATGCTGATTACATGACAGCTCCTTTGATCTTCACATCCACAAAACCCGAGAACTGAACTGTTGCGTCATTTTGAGGTCAGCTTTGACTGAGCTTTGCCGTACCAATCATAGATCTGTAGTTCTTTACATTTAGGTAAAACAAACATTGTTTTCTTAATTGTCGGCCTGCAGGTAGCCACACTGAATCCAAAGGATAACACTTATGCACTCAAGGATTATTTATTGAAAGATATTCAGAGAGACTGGCGTGGGTACGATGGAGCAGATAAACAGTTGTTGGAGTTAATACTTTCGAGGTAAGTTCAGTCTCCAGGGGGAGTAAAATGGCCATTGACAAACCTCTTTCTGGGAAATGTATGTCAGTCTTACCTATAACTGAAGAACTTTTGATACAGACCTTTTTGCCTTGTAACCTGAAATCCTGGCTCATCCCTACAGGAAATTAAACTCATCTCAGAATGCCACCAGCACAGGACATTCGGAATCTCCTGTAACTTCTGAGAAAGATGCCCCATCAACCGCTCCTCAGGTTTGGGTTTGTGGTTTGTTGGGTTTTTTTGGGGTTTTTGGGTTTTTTGGGGGTTTTTTTATGTTATTGACAGTGTTGTAAGATTTATCACACATTGTATTGGTGTAAAAACTGTGATGTGAGGTGCTCAAACTGTGTTTAACACATCAAAACCAAAGGATTATTTTACAATTCTTTGTTTGCTTGTTTGATTTTTAAGATGGCTGCACTGTCAAAGTCTGCCATGAGTTTTCATGGTCAGGGAGCAAAACTTCATGCTGATCATGCTCTTGATACTGTTTTGAAATTGTTACAGAAACGGCCTTTGAATTCTGATGTTGCCAGTCCTGTGGCAAACAAGAAGCAGAGGATCTCCCATGGCGCCACTCGAATCCATCCACCTTCCAGTGGCCACTTGTCAGCCCCCAGCGAGAGGCTTCCTCCCACCCTGGTATCCCTCGGAAGCACTGCTCCTCTGTGGCTGCTTCCCACTCTCCTTGCCACTCCCAACCCTCCTCACATGGCCAGCTCCAACTCCTCCAACACCCCTGAGGGATGGGGCACACAAGACCCGCTGGTGGACCTTAAAAGAGAAGAAACTGCCCAGCAGGAAAAGTCCTCCTGCTTGGACGCACAAGAAGGTATTGACACGCTGCTTTCTCTAACCCTTACGTGGCTAACCCTGGTGGAAACCAGTAAAAGCAGGGACTGGAAACGCACATGGCCTATTTGCTGACTTGCTTTAGAATATGTGCTTTGCCACTATCCCTGCTTTATGGTCACAACCAACCAGTATTTTTCTTCTCACACTGAACTACACTGTAACAGTCAGTTTAAAAAAACAGCTACCCCAGGCAAATGAACAAACAAACCAAAAATCTAAAATATGGAGGTATTCTGCTGGATTCTCATCTAAAATCAGGCTCATGTTTCACAATTCTCACTCTGTAGCAGAAAGAGTATTACAACAAGCAAATCTTAAATGGATTGCCGTTGAGCAACCACTGCTTACAAGGAAGATCTTGGTCCTTGAAAAACACGAGGAACAGAGTTTTGGTTGGTTGCTTGACTTCCAGTAAACTGACAGTTGAGTGAAAGCCATGAAATATGGTACAGGCTTAAACCGGCATTGAAAAGCTAAACGGCGACACCCAAAGAACACTTGGGTTCCTCGCACACACGCACACAAAACAGGGCAGAGTTCAGTTCCTTTGCGAAATCTGAAGGTTGTCTGGTTTCAGAGGTTTCACTTGCAAATTAGAAGTCAGGTTCAGCCCTTTCCCGTCACAGCACAGCGGCATCTTCAGAGCACACAGGTGCCTCTCAAGTGTCATTGTGCTTGTGGATAAGGGTGCTGTGAGATGGTCTTTTCCCATTTACCCTGGACACACTACACAGTGCCCATGTCGCCTGGGGTTGCTTTAAAATATTAATGCTGGCATTTGGAACCATTTGAGCATCTTTCTTCAGAAGCCAGTAACAGCATTCTGAACAGCCAGGGAAGGAAAATCTGCACTGTGACTTTGGATATTCCTGCTTGGGTTTCTCCCAAATGTTCTTCCCGCTTTTAGGCTTCATTTTACACTCCTGCTGCACCACGTAATAATCTTAACGTTAAAAGCCAAAGAGTTGAGTAGAAATGAAGCTCCATTCCCTCCCCATGCCTTAAAGCTCAGACAGCTCAGTCGCTGGCAAGAATGGCTGAGCTTTAGCAGGAAGTGTGTTTAAACTGGGCAGTCTAAGTTAATAATGAATAGAGAGGATGGTGTGTTTTTTAAGCCTGCCAAAAAAAACCCCAGATGAAGAGTGGAGAGAGATTACCACGATGCTGAGGTTGCCTTCCTGTCCTAGCTGACTTTTATTTATGGTGGCTATTTCTCTCAGGTATCCACAAGACAAGGGGCTCGTGAGACATTCCTCTAGAAGGAAGGATTAGAGTTAAGTGCGCTGTGTTTGCATAATGCTGTTTAAAAGGGCAAAGTGCAAGTAACTTTTACAAGAGCAAGTAACTTTCAAAGCCAGTATTGCCAGGGTAATGAGGAGCAAGCCTTTGTCGCAGGTGATTGAAGCCTGAATGCCAGTAACCCGTACGCAGTGCTACTGACTTTCCTGCTTAGAAGAGCGCTGCAATTAGGTCTAACTCGGGATACGTGTAATTGGCAGAGAAGGAGGGATAAAAACGTCCTTCAGATGTCCGTTGCTTGCCGGAACAGGGAGGTTGAGATAGATCCATGTATGTATGTAGACAGACACCTCAAGCTGTCTTCTTTGCTGCGGCTACATGTGTTGCAGCGTAACTTGAGTTGCTGTGCAGGTGCCACGTCACATCTTTACAGAAGAAAATCGGACCTCGGCTTAATAGTGCCGTAGCGCAGAACCTGCAGAACAAAGTAGCCATGCCCTCTTTCCAAACCCCAATGCTGCCTACCAGGGAGAAGGTCATGTGAGCCCTGTTACTAACATGCAATAAGCTCTGGAAGTCGTTTACCGAGAGAATAAAACTCTCAAGGGTTTTTTCAAGCCCATCAGGACGGTATTGTTTGGCTGTACTAAAACTGTTTATCACAACTGTCAAAATTCTGCTTTTCTCTAGGAGTCAGAGAAACTTGCACTGCCTCCGCAGACCCTCCTTCAGTGAGCGAACGAGCAGGCTACTTCAGGTGAGTAAAATAACACTTCAGAGCCCCTTGCCACTCATTGAAGCAGTTGAAAAATCATCTACAAAAGTTCCTGTTCAACTACAAAATTGTACTAAAATGTCACTTTAGAATCATGACAAGTTCCTTTTGAACAGTGGGCTTTTCCCCCACTCTTTTCTCAGAGGCCTTTTTTAAAAATGCACACACCTGTCCCTTTGTAGAAAGAGGGACATGCTTACCAGTTTCTCTTCTCTCCCTGAAGCTCAACCATTTATTGGACCTTCTGTACTTGAATGATGGCTCATGTTTTCCAAGTATGCTACGCTTTATTCTTTTTTTGGTGCAGCGTCTGCATAGAAACCCTGAAACTTAAACTTTAAGCTTATTTGGTAGATTTCTGTAATTCCTTAAATAGTTACTCTTGGAACAGGTGTGCTTAGAGGTAGAAGCAGTCAGTCACACAGTTACCCGACTTCAAGCTCAGGTGACGATGGCACTTGCTCTGGCCTTGGTGTCCAACTGCACGTGTGCTCCTCTTCCTATTAGAAAATACACGTCCGTAGTCTCGCACGAGCAGCGCCAGAGTTACGAGGCTGACTTTGATGCTGAGTTTAGGGAATACAGACACCCGAATGCTCACATGCAGAGTGTCACCAACAAATTCAAGAACCTGGGTGCACAACGGAAACTGCTTGCGCCAGGGTCCAGAGACTATCAGGTAAAGAGGGGTGAAACGGCAAAGACTGTGTTTCATCTCCCTCTTCAGCCCTTCCAGAAGCGCAGACTCTTCCATGTATTGCTCTACAGAATTCTCTCCATGTGGGTTTAGAAGACTTGCCAGGTTCAGTGTCCAAGTAACTGGTCACAGAGCTGGGGGTACGGCTGGCTCCGGCTCTGCTGGTGCCTCAGCGTCCTGGCCAGGGGAGGGGGCTCGGTGACATGGGCCGGGGAGAAGAGTGGCAGCGCGTGGAAAGCAGCGGCCATAATCCCAAAGCCCTCTATTTCCCCTGATCGTCTACACTTCACTAGACCTACAGCCACCACGCACTCATCTGCCAAAGCTGCGACTTTGGCAGAGGAGGGTGTTAGAAACCCAGTGTTCTGCCTTTCCAGCCTGGGCTGCCCTGGTTTGGACACACAAAGGCCACGTGTTCAACATCCGACATCTTTAATTCTAGTGCACGCTGAGGATTTTTGACTGGCTCTTATTTAGTTTTGGCCAGGTTGCAAGCGTGTTTGTGAGCAGGAGGAGTATTTTCACACTCCTGGTACGGCTCAGTCAGACACAGGGAAGCCTTGCAGAACTTGCATGCATCCTCAGACCCTGCCTGGGCGAGCTCTGATGGCTGAAGCTTGAGCAAACCCTGTAAAAAGTTGTTCAGGCCTCAGAGTCCAGTTGTTGGAGCTGTCTATGAACGTGCAGCAGCGTGAGCAGCGTCTCAAGGACAGTCTTCAAAGGCACGCTCCCTCTGTGGCCTGTTCACACGCTGAATTGCAGACCTGGCGTCACACGGGGGTGTGGGGGTTCGGTTTTGCAATGCGGGAGAGTGGTGGCTCATGGATGAGAAAATATCTTGAGTTGAACAATGTATTTTTGGTGTTTTGAATAACTCTGCATTTCCTGGTAGTGGTGGAATGCACTTCATATTGCCTTCATGTTTTTTTCCTTGAAGATCCTCGAGGAGGAGATCTCAGATGAGTACCGCAAGTTACAGCAGGCCTGTGTGACACGGGATGTGAGGGAGGTCATAAGCACCCGGGGTGACTCAAGGCTATCATTTTAAAGCAAAGGACATGAAACACTGAACTGTGCAGCAATGCTGCTGTGCTCAAACTTTCTCTGTACCTTACCTTCACAGTCTAGCCCCAGCTACTCTGAGCAGAAGTGCAGGTGCATGTATCTCCACGAGAAGCTCTCTCGTATTCAGAGGCTCATACGGGAGTTTGACCAGCGCCGAGCAGAGTCCCTGCACTAGTCGTCTGCTTCGACTGAGGCACGTGAAGGAATTAAAGCTTATTTATTTAAAACTTGATGAGATGAGTTCCTCCCAGTTTCTGAACATGAGTATCAGACTTTGGCCTCACAGAATTTTCAGGATTAGCAGACTTCACTTCATTGCCTTTGTTGCTATTGTTGATGTTGATTCTCTCTGTGTTTGACGCTGTTTTTCTGGTCCCTTCTTTTCGACATGTATCTTTGTCTATGGAGACAACTTTATCCCTAGATGCTGGGGAGCCAGCACGTCTACTCTGAACTGGGGCACCTTTCAGTTGAGAAAGTATGGTAACAAACAGAGGCGATTTGGGCTAAGTAACAGGCGCTTTTCTGACCTTGTGAATGCCACCTCTTTGCCCTAAGTGGTACGAAGTGCAGGAATTTGCACACACACACAAAAATCATCCCAGTGTTTTGGAGGGTGAAAGAGGTTTGTGTACGTGCGGTATACAGCCCACTTTGTTCCAACACAAACTCAGCCCTGGAATTTAAACCCACCACTGCAGTGTTTTCCTTAAGATGTTTGCTTGTGTACATCTGGTGTAGGTAAATGAGGAACTGCACTGCTTCCCACTTTGCTACAGCACCTGGGAATCACAGCGTGGCCTGTCAGTGTCTGAAAGCGTGCGCTTGTACCGCCCTCGTCCAAGAATGTGCAGGGGTGAGCATGCCTGACGGGGCACAACAACAGCTGCAAATGTTGCTGTAGATTTTTCCTACAACACTGCTATTTCTGTTGTGGAAGATGAGAGCATTTCCGCTTCAATAGTTTGTCAGCTTTAATAACATTGGGGAGACTGGTTCCTTACAAAAGTGACACATAAATATATATGGGTTTTGGTCAAGACTATAAAATTAACCATTACCTCTTGTGTTATTACTACAATGTACTTTTCCGTGAGAGATCTGCAAAGAAGCTATTGCCTACATGAAATATGTATGTAAATATTTTTATGCTGGGTGCCAGGAACAAAGAACAGGTGTATAGAACTCTAAAATACTGTGATCACCAGACAGCACAACTTTCATTTTGTGCAGCTTTTTGTTTCATTTTGATGTAAAACGTTTCTCATTTCATCATCTGAAACCCATTTGGCCAGCAGGCACGTGCGTACTTTCCTTGCCCAGATTAGTACTGACGTCGCAGCAGAAGCCCTCCTTGGTGCTTTTCACATCCCTTGCTAACCCTGGCTTGGCTTTGGTTTTCCAGATTGCATCGCCACACACCTCAGCAGCTTTCCTGTAGCCTCTTCCGTAACCTGTCCTGAGTCCCACTGCCCGGACACATCCTTTTTTGCACTGTTCTGCCGTGCATTCCCTCTTTAGCCATGCCAGCCTCCTGACAGATCTGTTGTGCTTCTCTCTTGATCATAGCACCGACTTTTCTTGTGTCTGGAGAAGATTACCTTTCAAGGCCTGCTAACCCTTCTTGAGCTCCTTTGCCCTTTGTCCCAGAGACCCCCGAAGTCAACAGCTTCACACACGTCCACATGTAAAACACTGCAGTATTCTGCACAGGCAACCACAATTTGCTTTTTCTGGAGCTTTGAACATGTCACTACCCTCTTCTTGGCTCATGGGCATTCCTCAAAGAAGCTCTGCAATTATCTCTAACAGTTAACACAAACGGAACATGCTTCATTTGACACATGGCTGTCAAAGCACTTGGCGTGTTGTGGCTGAAGCCCATAAATGCATGCCATCGAGGAAATTCAGCAGTTGCCCTCCTCTCCAGAACACCTTAAAAATGAGGGTGGGTAGTTACTTTGGAAGGTAACACAGAACTGAAACTAATCGTCCATTGGGGATACAGCTCCAAGGACCCCAACACCTCCGCACGACAGGCAGTGAGGGTGTGCCCAGCCAGGCCAACAGACAGACAGCAGAGTCTATCGTCAGAGGCAAAGCCAGGGGCCATGGACAGAGGCCATGCTGACAGCCCTCTGCCTGCTGGGGATGCGTGAGGTGCTGCCAGCTGTGCTGTGGGTTCTGTGGGCTGTGATGCATCTGTTCTCCTTCTGAATCACTGTGGGTCCATAGGAAGGTGAGATGCTCCTATTACTCCAAAACAGCTGTTGCAAAGAGAGAAGTGAATTCAGAATTCTGAATGCACTGTTTCTCCACACATGCTGGCATAGAATACTGCAGGAAATCAGAGAGCTGCTTGGCAGCCATGGCAAGAGACAGGTAATACTGCCCTTTTCAGACAGAAACAGAAGGTGGCAAGAAATGATTAATAGCAGTGGGGAGACTGCACGGTGGTGAAGAGTCTTACCTCATTCTTTCCACCTTTACTAGGTAGATCAACCCTAGTTTTTGAGGGAAGGAGAAATAAATATATATGAGGCATGAGCTTGCTACAGTGTTCATCTTGGGCTATTTCTGACCTTCAGAGAATCTGCAAAGCTGGTTCAAATGATCCTTCATGCCCCTGTACTTGAATCCTGCCTGGACATTGGTACATACAGAATAGTTGCTGGTTTTTTTCAGGTTGCTTTCCTTCTCTTGATGTTACCTTATACCCAGTAGAGGAACACAGGGGAACAGCAGTTAAATGCCTTCAGCATTGGCCTGGGCACATGAATGTAGTGCTTACTGTGAACATACACTGAAAGCAGACTGCAGTGGGTATGGCTGTAAACAGGAGGCATGGTGTTAGACATGTGCACAAAGGTCCTAATGAAGGGTAAAATACAGTGGTAAATATAAATATGCCTTGGAAGGTGTAAAATTACTAAGAATGCCTTCACATGACTGTAAGGTATGCACTTGCAATGCCTTCAGGAGACCTCAGGAAGTTCACCAGATCTACAACTGACCGACATCCAATATTCCTGAGAACAACCCAGAAGCTTATGAGCCTGTGAAGCTCAAGATTCTGGTTGGCCTTTGCAACTCTGGGGAACCTCAGGCTTTTCCCCATCTTAACTCAAATGTAATGAGCTGTAGAGAGATGCCTTTAAAAAGAAAGGTGCCTTTACAAGGGCTCTGACAGAAACTTCTAATGAAGGCAAAGCACGTATCTGTCTTCTGTCAAATGTTTGCCTCTGGTTGTGACCCGTGCCCCCTACTCCTAACACCTGGTGTTATGATTCGCATGACTAGTGCCACTTGGTGAAGCAATTAGTCGTAAACAAGATGGTCACATACCCACTCCTCCTTCAAAAGCATCCCAGGTGCCAAACCATCTATCCTCCACCATTGGCTGCTTCCTCCAAGGACTCTGCAACTTGTTCCGTGTGCACTTTGAGCTCAAGTTATGGTTGTTGTCTTAAAATGATCCAATCTGCAGAGGGTTTAGGTAAAACAAAATTGTGATTGTAACAACATTGTTGCATCATCATTCTATCCATGATCCCTAAAGAATCTGCCTGTCCCCATAGTGTTTGGTGACACTGGTATGACAGGAAAACATTGAGAAACAGTGAGGAGAAAACTCCTAATTCTACTGTTTTGCTCTCCAGCGTGCTAGGAGAGCAGATGGGTTTCCATCTGCCACACCAAAAGCAATGTTAGTGAAACAGAAAAATGAAAGTTGTTGAGAAATACTCTAGAATAGGGAGAAGGCATGGAAAGCAAAGTTCCCCAACATTTTGCCTCAAAGGGTCTTGTTGAGCATGGGAGCAGCCAGAATACTTCCTACATACTAGGAAAATGGAATATTCCTAACCTATGCACTGGGTTTCATGAAAAAGTGAAAGGCTGTGGTAGTCACCCCCTAAACTATTTTTGAAGTCATGTGTAAGTTTTAAGTTCCAAATCCCACTAAGGTCCCAGATAGAGTAATTTTAATATGCTGCTTAGGAGATTGTTTAAATGACATTTCCAACCAAAAGATATTGTTAATATCCTCATTACAATGATGTTCTTCAAGCTATTAATAGTTACCACAGAGGCAGTGCATGTAATTATGGAAAATCATTTAAAGCTGAGAAAATACTGACATTTCTATTCAGTGTCAAAATTAATAGGAATTATAAAATTAGACTTGTGCATAATTCAGGTTATTCCTAATATAACTCAGGTCATTTTTAGCCATCTGTAAAAAGAGAGGGCTGCAGTTTAATTGGAAAACTTTCTTCTTCTTTTTTTTTTTCTTTACATATTTGCAGTGATTGCAAATGTGCTCCACTGAAACAGTGATAAAACCCACTTTTACTATAAGCAGGTACTACCGCATGTCCATCAACTCCCCAAGCTCATGGCAAAATACAAAAGTACAAAACTACTATTAGTTTTAGGCTTGATTTCACACTAGAAAATTACTACTCACGGCCATAAAGGAGAGAGCAAGAAGAGAAGGATTTTTCAGTGAGCAGTGAGAGTATCAGTATCAGCTGGAGATAAAGTTGCCCAGATCTTCCCAGAAAGGAGATGTTTAATATTAAGTGGGAAAGTGAGGGCAAGCAAGGGTACCCAGAGACAGGATCTTGGAGAGGGTGAAACAAGAGCAGGGAATGGTGTTTGTAATCCCAAATCATCATCGATCATAGTGCAATGCTCAGCAGCTCAAAGGGTGTTTCACAGGCTGTTCCCAGTAACATCTGGGAGTGATGGGGGATGAAGACCTACACAAGCTAAATGTTCTGATCATTGTCACACTCCTGTGGTTTTGAGTCAGCATTCAGGGTCTTCTGCTGATCTGAGGGCCACCAAACTCATTCAGAAGTTTAGCTGACTACTTTTGTCTCTCAGATCTGGAGAAATAAGTTCAGATATGTTTAAAGAAAAATGCTCAGTCCTGATGCAGGCTTGCAAAGCCAGGGGGATGAACTGAGCTACCAGGTATACTGAGGAAGCCACATGAGACTGGACACTGCTAATAAACTAGTCCTTCCCTAGCACTCATTAATTCTGTGCTGGGGTTTGGTGTGAAGCTGCCAAAGTGCCCACAAAATCTTTATGGGCTGGATAACTGATCGTCAGCACCAGTCTATTCACCATTCTTCACAAGACCAGTCAATTACTCTTCCTTTAGAG